AAATTATAAAATAAAAAAATATATACATATTATATTTATATAATTATTTTATATATAAATTTTTATTTTTTTTTAACTTTTTAAAATAAATAAAATTTAAAATAGAAATTTTTTAGCAATAATTTAATAATTTTAAAATTAGATATAATAAAGAAAATATTTTATAATCAAAATAAGAGCTTAGTTGTATCTATAATTTAGTGTTTTATTTAGAGTTAAATTAAGAAAATTTAAAAGTTTCTGGCAAAATAATAAATAAATTCTATATAAATAATATAATCTTATGTTGAAAATAAAAATCATAATTTTTTAAAATAATGTATAATAAAGAACTAAATTTAATAAATTAAAGAAATAAACACGGATATATAAGAACTTTATTAGAAACAAATAGAGAAAAAGAGTTTTAATAAATTAAATAGAATTTAAAAAATAAATAATAAGAAAAATGATTTCCTGTGAATAAATAAATATAAAATATAACATCTGAAATAAATTATAAATATTCATAATTAATAGTTAATATATAAGATATTTTAAATAATGTTTATATTACATATACATATAGTATATTATTTATAATTTTTTTTTTTTTCTGAATTTTTTTTTAATACAAAAAAGGAATTTATAAAAATATATTTTATTATATTTATATATAAAAAAATAAATTAATTTTAATAAATAAAGATTTTTTTTGTTAAAAAACTAAAGTTTTTTTACACTATATTTGTCCTCATTTTTTCTTTTAAGTTTTCTTTAATCTTGCTTTTTTTGTTCAAACAAAATTTAAATTTTAATCTTATATACCATAAAGGAGTTATTATTTTCCTAATAAATTGATTTATTTTATTTTTATGTGGTAAATGTAACTGATTAATTTAATAAAAATAAAATAATTTATTTTAAAATATTGTTCATATTATGAAATTCAATTTTTCTTTTGAATTATACTAATCCATCAAAATATTATATTTAAAAAATAATTAAGTTGATATTTATTTTTCTAAATTATAGAACATTTTTTTTTTTTTAAATATAAAAAATATAATTTTTATAAATAAAAATAATATGAGTTTAATCTTATATAAAAAAGATGATGAAAATAATAATTTTTTATACAAAAATAAAAACATTTAGTTATTAATCTTTTATTTAAGATTATTTAATAAAAAATTTTAAAAATACTCAGTTATTTTCTTATAAATAATATTAAAATATATCACTTAATGTTATAAACATTTAAACCTATTAATTTTATTTATTTATATTAACAAGTCTATTTCCTTAAGCTAGAAATAAATTCTCAACAATTTTTCTCACACAATCAGTTTATTCAAAAAACTCACACATATTTAAGCTCATAAGTTTATATTATTATTTCTTTTCTTTTAAAAACTAAATAAACTCACTTATAGGTCTACTCAACTAAAAATAAATAAAAAAATGTTTTTATTTTTTATTAAATTTATAATTATTATATATATATTAAATATTATAATATTTATATATATATATTTTTAAATAAAAGTAAAATTAATAACGCCGTTTAAAAAAATACTATTGCAAAATCTTAATTTTTCCAAATAAAAACAATATCTCTTCTATGGATTAATCCTTTATATACATTATTTTCTCCAGTAATAGGTACAGAGGAGATTTTCCATTTATTCATCATAGTATCAAAGCAATTATAAGTAGAATCATTATAATTAAAGCTTAGGACATGTTAATTACTATTAACTTATTTGGAAATACTTTAAATTTATAAATCATAAGAATTATTATATGAATCATTATTAAAATCTTAAGTAAGATTTCTAACCAAAAACAGTAAAATATCTTTATAAGTTAGAATTCCTACAACTAATTAACTCTCATTATCAATTACTAAAATCCTATGTATTTTTTATTCTATCATTTTTGTACATGCTTCTTATAAAGGAGCTTCCAAATTTACTGTTATTAATTTTTTATATTCATATTTCTATTATATATAAATTATATATATTAATATATAACTAAAGTATAATTTATATATATATATATATATATATTTATTTGTATATATATTTTTTATTTTTTTATAAAATAATACTTCTTAATTTAAAACTCTTAGCCATCCTCTAACATTTAATTTTTAAAGATCTTTTAAAAGAGTTTATTTATGATTTTCTGTAAATTAATATTATTCAGCTTAAAAAATTTATTCATTCATTATTGATTAACTTTGATTTCTATTAAAATTTAAATTATTTATTTCTTGTTCTTCTTCGACTTCATTATTAATGTTTTTGCAAAAAACCATATCACCTTCATCATTTATTTCTTTTTTTTTATGAAATATATTTATTTTATTTTATTATAAATATTTTTAATAAAACAATCATCTTCTTGGAAAATTTTAAATTCTTATAATTTATTAAAATCTTAAAATTATGCTTAATTTTCATTAACTTTTTTATAATTTATTAAAAATGTTTTTTTTATGTATTATTATTTATTTACATTAATTTTGTTCTAAAACTACATTTTTATAACCTTTTAATATAATATTAACAATATCTGAATATGTGATAATTCCATCAAATTATGCAGTATCTTAATTCCAAATTAAAGCCTCTTCAAAATCATTTTTAACAACTAAATTTATAGCTTCTAAACATGAAAAATTCTTATCAATAACAACTACCTTTTATTTTGATAGGATAAAAATTAACAAATCAAGTGTTAATTAAAAAAAAAGAAAAAAAAAAATTTAATAAATTAAAAAATATTTCAAAAATACTTTTAAATATTTATTTAAAAGCTTACTTAAGAATTCTTTGGTAAACAATCATATACTTTATTTTCATTAAGAAATGCATGAATAGAATTTCTATACGATTCCTATTTTTTTATATAATTTTTTTTATTTATTTAAATTATTTTAATAATTTTGAAACGTTTAACGATTCTTCTTTACTTTAAATAAGTGATGCCATTTTATTATTATTATATTACATCTATTTATTAATAAATATTTAGTTTTCTTTTATTAATTTATTTTTGTTTTTTATTATTTTTAATTATTGTTTTTATATATTTTTTTTTAAGATTTAATAAATAAAAATAAATTAAAAACTTTTTATTTAATTTTTTAAATTATATTTACTTTAAGTTAATTACTTAATTCAATTTAAATTTTTAAAAGTTAGCGTATTTATATATTTTTTTCGTAAAAATAATAATAAATATTATATTTAATATATATTAATTTGCTTTAATTTTTAATAAATTTAATTCAATTTAGTATATTGTATATATAAATTTTTCTTTTTTAAAAAATCATTCAAAAAAATTCTAATAATGTATATATAATTTTTTTAAAAATAATAATAAAAAATTATTATGTAAAAAAAAATAATAAAACAAAGAACTTATTATAATAAATGATGATAAAATACAAAATAAAAAAAGTGTTATAGAACAAAAAACTAAAAAAAAATATGTTCTAAATAAAATAAAATATCCAAATGTTTTAAAGAAATATAAAAAAAATATATTTTTGAAATTAATAAAATAAAATTAAAAAATAAAAATAAAATAAAAATTGAAAGAAAAATATTAATAAATAATTAAAATACTAATAAATAATTAAAATACTAATAAATAATTAAAATAAAATTAATAATATTATTTATTAAAATATAAATAAAAAATGACAGAATTCAAATAAAATATTTTTAATATAGAAATTAATAAATATATTATAAGAAAAAAATATATAAAAATATAATAAAGTATAAAATAATATAAAATAAAATAAATTGTAATAAAATTAAAAAATAAAAATATTATCATTATTATTTCATATCATGTTATATCATGTCATTTCTTTTTTTTATATTTTCTAAATTATACTTGTATTAACAAAAGTATTATTTAATATCCTCTAAAATCTATCATTGAATCCTTTTATGCTTCTTACACTCGAACAATAAGAAGAAAACGAAATAATATTTTAAATTAAAAATAAATCTATTATTAGAACTGTTAAATAACAATAATACCATTTTTAATCATATTCATAATTAATAATACTACACTATTTATAAATAAAAAAAATAAAGAATATCAAAAAAATGGCTAAAAAAAACAATTTAGAAACTATGTATCTATAACACTTTAAGAAATTATATTTTTCAATAATTTTTCTTACAAATCCTTTAACAAATACACACATTAAAATTAAAATACCAGTTATAAAATATCCAAACTTAAATTAATAAAAACAAATTAGTATAAATAAACATTATTTAAAATAAATAAGTAGAGCTCTAATTACTGAGTTTCTTTAATTGCTTTATAACATATATATTTCTAAAAATTCGTTCGCAATAAGTGTAAAATATGTTTTCTAGTCATAATTATAATAATAAGGATTTATAGTAATTTAAGTTAGTATAGATTGTTACGCGAGAAAATCTTCTAATCCTATCATGTTTGCTTCAGTTCTAATAGGATTAATTTAAGTTTAATTGTCATATTTTCTTTTATTTCTTAGTGTTGTTCTAATAATATTACTATTTGTTTTCTATTTTACTAATGTTGCTTATTATTTTATTTATTAGCTTGTTTATTAGTTTATTTATTAGTTTATTTATTAGTTTATTTGTTAGTTTATTTAATTTACTTTTTACCTTTGCCTTTTATTTACTTTACTTCCAACTTGCAGTACAACCTAATTATCTACATTTATTATTTAAGATTTTGCTACTTTAGGTTTAAATTATGCTTCTCCCATATTATTTGACCTATTATCTAAAAAATAACAAATTATACACGCTATGAATATATATATAGTAATCACTAGATATACTTTAAATATCTACTTACTAATAACACTAGTTTCTTTATGTGTTTCTTTATGCGTTTCTATATAGATTTCTTAATGCGTTTCTTCATGTGTTTCTTCTTAATGTGTTTCTTAATGTGTTTCTTCAAGCGTTTCTTCAAGCGTTTCTTTATGCGTTTCTTCATGCGTTTCTTCATGTGTTTCTTTATGTATTTGTTATTCTTATACTTATACTTATTTTTTCTCACATTTACCATCATCATTTAAAATAAGTTCGTTTTCACACTCCAAGCATTTATTTGCTTCTGTGCATTTTTTGCATGTAACATGGCAAGGATCACATCTATTATTCATCGAATTTTTAAAATTTTTTTTAGAACATTCTGTTTTACATTAATTTTATTCAAAATAAGTATTTCCAGAGCAAACAACTTCTTTAATGCAGAGTCTATTAGATAAATAAAATTCCTAAAAACATTCTGTACATTCATTAGATTATCTACAATTTAAACAATTAGAAGGACATGGTTAACAAATTCCATTAGAATCTGGAAAAGTTTATTAATCACATTCTTATTTACATTATTTATTTTAGTTTAAAAAATAATTCTATACACAAGATTAACATTTATCCTTTTCTATACATGCCTTACAATTTAAGTCGCATAATTCACATTTCGAAGTACTTATTTCCAAATACCTACCTTCAACACAAGTATCACATGTATTAGAATTCGAACAAGAGTTACAAGAGGGATCACATTATTAGCAAATTTTATTTACATCCAGATATTATTTACTATCACAATTATCAGCACATTTCTTAGTTTATAAAAGAACCTAATGATTATTGCATGTAACGCATTAATTGTCAACTATTCCGTCTTCACAGGTTTAACAATTATCATTACATTTTTCACATAAACCACTCTTTGTATTAACATAATAACCAACATTACATTAATCACACGAAATTGCATTTGAACAAGTAAGACAAGTCGCATTACATGGTTAACATTTCCTTTAATCATCTCCATATGTATTATGTTAATCTTATTAACAATTATTAACGCATTTATTGTCTTAAGTTAGATAATAAAATTAATCGCATTCTGTACATTAATTAGAAGGATTATCATCGCAAATTTTGCAATTAACAGTAGTGCACGGATTGCAATATTTAGTAACAGAATCCAAATACATACCGTCAGCACATGTAGAACATGAACTTCGATCAACACATGTTAAACATGTTAGTTCACATGGTTAACATGTTTTAGTAATATCCGGATATTCGTTCGGTAAACATGAATCTGCGCAAGTTTCGTTTGTTTGTAAATATTAAGGCTCATAACAAGTAAGACAGCTAGTTTTTGAATATAAACAAGTTTTGCAATTTGGATCACATAATAATTCGCATAATTTTCTTACTCTATTTAAGAAAGAACCATAATTGTAATTAATACAGGAAGTTCCATTTTTACATGTAGCACAGGATATGTTACATTCTTAACAGATTTTAGAAGAATTCAGATAATAGCCTGGATAGCATTCCGTGACGCTATTTTTTTTCCAGTTATTGCAAATATAAAGGAGATGAGCAGGACAGACATTTAGTTTTATCAGTACCATCTTCACAAGTAGCGCATGAATTATCGCATTCTTCACGTAACAAAGTACTAGTATTTAAAAATTTGCCATCTGCACAAGATTTACAAGAAATCGCATCTTTACATGTAAGACATATAATATTGCAATTCATACATTTATGCATATTAACTACACTAGTATCTAAATATTAATTACTATCACAAACTTCAACACATGTCGAGTCTTTTGTTTACAAAAAAATAGTTGGATCACAAGAAGTACATATTTCTATAGAATTATTTTCATAAGTTTTACAATTAATGTTACATTTTCCACTTAAACTATTTTTATAATAACCTTTATCACATTTAGTGCAAGAAGTTCCATTAGTACAAGATATGCATCCTTTCATACATTTAGTACATATTCTATCGCTATTATTTAGCTTAAAAGTTCCTTCTGGACAAGCTACACATTTATCACCTTCTAAAATTTCATTAATATTACATTAAATGCATTTTAGATTACTATTTATATACTCATTATCTCTACAAAGTATGTTTTAAACACTTTACATCTAGAGATATTAATCATTATGATTTTCATCATCCACTATTAAAACTTGTCCTTTTAAAAATAACTATCTGTACATACTTTTATTTATAGGAAGTGTGTAATATTTATTTTTTTAATCTACTCTTTAGATTACTCGAACTCTATTTAAAGCTGAATCATAAGATATATCATACACAATATTTCCGAAAATAATAACCGATTTATAAGTCAAAATATCATAATAATTTCCAAATTTAATTGGCGAACTATCATCTGTCATATATACTTGCGTAAAAGTAAACAAATCGTAAAATTACCATGCTCCATTGTTTCCTAAGCAAATTATTTTCTTCCCAATTCCAAAATCCAAAATATCAGAAAAGTAAAATTAATATGAGTTGACTAATACTTTTAAATTTAAATTAACAGTATCTCTAGAATAGTTAAATTAAGCCAAACCTATTTAATTCTTAGATTATTTATAAAGGACAATATCATTATCAATTTCAATAAAACACAATTCTTTAGAAAATTAAGACATAATATATTATTTCCCTTTATAAATCATAATATTATTATTTTTATCATTACTGTGGAAAGCAGCAATTTAGTCATTAAAACAATATTTTGACACATCATTTATTTAATTTTTTGGAATCGGGACTTAATTACAATTATCATCAAAAAAAGGAATTGGATAAAATGCATAATATTGAGCATTGAATATTAAATTTTAACTTTTCATAACATGTATTGAATAATATTTTTATGTATATTTATTAGATAAATTAAAGGATTTTGAGGTTGAAATTGTGTATTTACTATTATTATTCAAATCATTAATGTTTATTAAGTCTATAACTTAGTAATCAGCATTTTAATGGTTTATTAAAAATAATTTGGGACGACCCATTTTAATTTCAATTAAATAGATAGTTTTAAATATTAATTCATTAATTCCATCTAGAATTATTTACTTTATTATATATCCATCGGCATTTAATTTACAGTAATAGTAATTTTCTTCAGTATTTTACAAGATTGGTTTTATTATTATGGCAGATTGTTCTACAATTTCTATCCAATATTAATATATTTTAAGTGGATATTTAAATGTATTTATTTTTTAAATTATAAAAAAATAAAAAAATAATAATAATAATATTAATTTTTTATTCTTCATTTATATTTTTTAATTTATTCTTTTATTTTTTATTTTTATAAAATAAGATTTTATTTAATATTAATTATTAAAATAAAAGTAGAAAACACATTTATAATTAATTATTTTTCTAAGAAAAGTTTTTTTTCTAATATATATGTTAATTAATATATAATATTAAATAAAAATTTAATAATAGATAAAAAAATCATGTTTATAAATTTGATAATATAATCATTATTATTTTGTTATATATATTGATTTATTTATATTAAATTTTTGAGTAATAACTTACAATATAATAATAATATCTATTTTTATATCTTTTAGTAAATTATTTTAATAATTCAGTATATTATAATATAATAAAAAATAAAAAAAATTTATTTTTAAAAATATTTTTAATTTATTTAAATTTTTTTAATAAATATATTATTAAATATAATATATATATATATATATATATATTTATTTATTTTTTAAATTATAAAATTTTTTATTTAAAATATTATTTAATTTAATTAATTTTATTTATTAAAAAATTTTAATATTTTAAAGACATAAATAAAAATTAGAAGAAGGTATAAATTTTTATTCAAAAAATAAAACATTTATAAAATTTTTAAATAATTTAGGTAAATTAAAAAATAGATTTATAATTAATAAAAGTTAACATTTAAATTAATATTAAATAAATTTAATAAAAAAAAATATAATTAATCATGAATATGTAAAAAAATTAAAAATAAAGAAGAACATTATCAAATTAAATATATTATAAAAAAAATATTAAATAAGTAAAAATATTATATTTAAAATAAAATATAAATTTTAAATTCAAAATAATAATAATTTATTTTTTATTAAAAAAATATTTTATATACATGAAAATAATTAAAAAGATATTTTAATATAAAAAATTTTAAATATATTAAATATAAAATTATATTTTATAAAAAAAAAAAATTAATTAGAAATTACATATGAAATTAATATTTATATATTTATTTATTATAATAAAATAAAATTATACTATTAATTAAAAATATATCTTCTTTATAAATATAATATATAGAAGAAAAAAAATATAGTATATTAATACTATTAAGAATTTAAAATTTTATTTTAAAAATAATCATATATAATATTTCTTAAAAATTAATAAAATTAAATTTAATAAAGATTATAGAAAAGATATATATTTATTATAAATTAAATATAATAAAAATTATTTTATTATTAATTTTTATAATAAATATTATTATTATTATTATTATTATTATTATTATTATTATTATTATTTTTTATTTTTTTATTATATTTTTATATTATTTTTTTTTTATTTATTTTTATATTTTTTTTTTATATATTTTATATTTTATTTATTTACAATTTTATTTATTAATATAATTTATAATTTTATTCGCATTGATTTTTTTTATATTTATATTATTTTTTTTTTATTGTTTTAAATTTTTATTTTATATAATATCATTTATTTTATTTTTTAAATTTTAAAAATAATGTTTACAAAATATTTATTAATTTTTTATTTTTATTTTATTTTAATATTTAAATTTTCTTTTCAATATCCATTTTTTTTTTTTTTAAATACTTCATTTAATTTTTTTTTTTCTGCATTCATTTTTATTTATTTTATATTTTTATTTGTTTAATTTTTAATATTATAATTTTTTTAAAAAAATCATTACAATTATTAGTTTTTTTTTTTATAAAAATTTTATAAATTGTTTTTTTTTAAAAAAAAAATTAATTCATATATAAATTAAATTAAATATAAATTAAAATCCATTATTTATATTTAATATAAAATTTTTGATTTTTTATAAAAATAATAAATAAATAATCTAATTTATAAATATTAACATTGAATTTATATAATTAACTTAAAATAAATTAAAATTTAAATAGATAAATACAAATATTTTTTTAGTTTTATTAATTAAACATTAAAAAAATATTAAACAATAAATAAATATAATAAAAAACAAATTTAAATTAATAAAAGAAAATATAAAATTTATTTATAAATAGATTTTATATAATAATAATAAGCCAACTTTGTTAAATATTTAAAAATATAAAAATAAATAAAAATTTTCAAATAAAAAAAGGAATTGTATAGAAGTTCTATTCACTTATAGATAAATAAAAATAAAGTATATAATTGTTTACCAAAGAACTCTTACGTTATTTTTTAAATAAATATTTATAAGTATTTTAGAAACATTTTTTAATTTATTAATTTTTTTCATTAAATAATAAATTTTAATATAGTGTATGTAAAAGATATCCTTTATCACTTGTATACATAATCTTAAAATTTAAAAGTAATATAATTTAAGATATTTCGGTATATTGCCAAACTATAATATATATTAAAATATTCATTCCAAATAAATAATTTTTATTATAAAATTAATTTTATAAAGTCTATATTAAAATTTAAATTTTGTTTGAAAATAAAAAAAAACAAGACTAAAGAAAAGTTATAAAAAAATAATGATATCATAAACATTGTAATAACAACTTTAGTTTTTTAACAAACAAGCAAAAGTTATTTATTAAAATAAATATGTTTTTTTAAATAAATAATTATAAAATATATTTTATAAATTCTTTCTATTTTAATATAAAAATATAATATATTAAAAGCAGAGAAGAAATAATTTTTTTCATTCTTTACTTTATTATTTTTACTTAAATAATTCAGTTACATCAACTAAATTAAACATTTATGCATTTAAAGATTATTCATATAATTTTTAAAAGAAATAATTACTTTAATTTTAAGATAATTAAATACTTACAATTTACATATATTTTGTTATTTATTCTTTTGTATATTTTTAATATTTTCTAACGTCTCCAATTAATTATAATTAATACATAAAGATATCTCCATTTTTATTGAAAATCTAAATTATTTTTTTATTTTATTTTTAAAGTTTATTATTATATCATAATTACTTCAAAAAGTTATTATGCTTATTAATTAGTAAATATTTTAAGTTTTCCAATTGCAAATTAAAGCCTGCTTTTTGCAATTAAATTGTTTACATTCATGCTTGGATTATATATAATAATGTCTTATGTATTATCTTCTACTAAATATCTTGCTAAAAGTACTGATTATTCTTAATTAAGGTTAAAATGTTCACTTAATAATAATTAATAATAAAAAATAAATATCAAAAAATGTTATTTTATTTTAATATTTTTTTTATATGTAATAATATTATTCATAAAGTAATATTATGTTATGATTATTATTTAAAAAAAAATATTTTTTTTATAAAAATAAGTATTTTTTAAAAAATATATTTTATTTTATTACTTTTAAAATTTATTTATAAGGTTTTACATTGTTATTTTAAGTTTTTTCTTATTTTTATTTTTTTAAGATCAATCAAAATATGTATTAAATACATTTTTAATTTTATTTCGCCTTATTTTTGATTGAGTTTTTATTAAAATAAATTCAGAAAAAATAAATTATAAATAATTTATTCTATATATACATATAATTTAAACTTAATTTAAAATATCTTATATTATGATTCTCTATTACGAATGTTTATAATTTATTTCATATATAATATTTTATATTTATTTATTCAGGAAATTATTTTTCTTATTATTTCTTTTTAAATTCTATTTAATTTTATAAAGCTCTATTTGTCTATTTATTTCTTATAAAGTCCTTATATATGTGTTGTTCCTTTAATTTATTAATATTTAATTATTT